ATGAGTCAAAGCAAGGCTTTGGGCATGTTTTTTTATGAGAGTATAACATTATAACATGATATAAAACTCAAAAAAGTTGATTTTACACGATATTGCCCCTTTAAAGCAAAAAGTAAAGAGGGGAAAAAACATGAATCTAACATTTTTGACAAACTTATATAAAAACATAATCACAAAAATCTGCAATTTTAAAGCCTTTAAATTGCATTTCTTTAATTAATAAATCACACAAAGTGTTGATTTATTGCGATATTTAGGAGTTTTGTTTGACTCTAAGGTGAAAAACGCAGGGAAGCGGAGAGCTGTCGGAGGGAGCTCTCGGTGTAGTCAGTTTCCATGGCAACGGCGGGGTGTGAAAAGGCTTGTTGGCCTTCGCCGCGCCTGTGGTGTAAAACATTCATAATTGGCCAGGGTTAATGCGTCGGCGGTCCGCAATCACAGCATCGCACTGCCATCACGCCCATCACCCACACGTCACGCAGATCTCACTGTCGCCGAAATGACGCCGGGTTTATTCACGGCTTCCTCCCTCTGTGGGCTCGAACTGAAATGACTGAGTGAGTGACAGCATCGCTCACAGATCTCCTGCTTTGATCATCATCAGTTTCACCCAGACTCAACAGCACAGAAGTCCCTCACATTTGCTGAGATTCTCACTCTTCTTATTTAGCCAAAAAAAATAAATAGATCTGAATTTGACTTTTACAGGCTTTGACATTGTGCCGCCAAGCTTGCAGTAACATGGAGTTTTCTCTTTTTTTTTTTTTAATTGCAGAAAGGTTAACAAGTGCTACCGGGGCCGATCTTGCCCGATAATTGTTCACTGCAGGCAAGTATAACAGTTTGAACTTTGTTAAAGTGTCTCGCCCTGCTGAACTGAGACAGAGTGTTTGTCGTGGCTGTTTGTTTAAACCAGTCAGTCCATTTCCTCTATCTGAGCCACTGGAGCTGCTGTTTCTTATGTAAATAACGTGGCACAAAGTCACGGAGTGATGGACTCTTCTATTTCCCATTTGGTCGAGTTAGTTAACTGGCCCTGATTGGTTTGTATTAAACACCAGGCATCTGCTGGACCACTTTTAATACTCACATCCTGTTAAGTCATGCATGGGGCCAGTAAGCCCGCTCTCCCTCTGAGGAACGGAGGATCGAGCAACGGATTAATGAAGCTGTGGCGCTCGGGCAGCTCTCCTGTTTTTTTTTTTGTTTTTTTTTTTTGGCCTTGCCTTTATTAGAGCGATGTCCACGCCTTGTTTGCAATTAACATGCAGAGCCGCTGAATGGCCGGTGGGCACAAAGAGAGGCTTTTCATGGGGCTATCTCTGGAGTAATGGAAAAAGCAAGGCTCTCCAAAAGCGGTTCTCAAAACCGCCCCTGGCCTCTCAACCTCTCCTCTGCTCCTGAGGTGCATGCATTTAAAAGCTTTTGTCCCCAGCGTGCCTTAGAAACCGTCCCCCTCTTTCCAACAGACCACACATGCACTTGTGTGCAAAGGTTTACCATAATTAYATTTAATGGAAAAAAAATGCAGGAGAATTTAAGGTATCGTTGCTAATTTTTAGCTCCTTCTATATGGCGTGAGTAAACCAGGACGTGCACGTCTGCATGCACGGACCAATTTGGGGTTCATATGAACTTGAAAGTCTCCCAGCAGATGCCGAATGTAAATGAGTAATTTGTTTTGTAATAAAGGAAAAACACTCTTGAGATTAAAGCGTCTCACGCTACCACCTTAATGACGTCTGTCTGCCTCTGACTCTCTGCAGCGACGGAGCGGGCAGGACCGGGACGTACATCCTGATTGACATGGTCCTCAATAGGATGGCTAAAGGTAACAATCGACGGCTTCTCTTTCACTTTCCCTCTGCTCCAAGTGTTGCCCCAGCAACGAGAAAGCCTCTTTTTTCCCCCGCAGAGGGTCTTGGGGATGCATTAGAGGGTGACTTCTCTGAGGCCTGGAGAGGCAGCGAAGACAGAGGCAGAACAAAGAGAAAACACAGGGGAAGGGAAATGGGGAAAAAAAGCTCCACCCACATTAATAATTATCTATTTAAGCAACCTTCACACCATATTGACCTGCATCAGCAGCTGCAACATGAATTTAGATAGCACATGCATGGAAATGAAATGTTTAAAGAAAAAGTACATTTAAAATTTGCTATTTTCTCCAGCTGTGCAAATCAATATTTAATATTTAATGGGAACTTTGTGCTTAGTTGATTCTAATATTGATTTTTTATTTTTTCATCTGAACAGGGAATGTGTTATGTTTTTTTACACAAATGTACTCTTAACTGTGAACACTGTTAGCATGTTAGAATGCAAGGTGCTTTTATAYTTTAATTGCTTGGATTTTGAAATAGACCAGTCCCTGTAGTGCAGACAGCTTATACAGGCTTGGCACACAGTTCTGCACAAACCAAAATAAATGATAAATGTGTGGAAAGTCAAGGGACCGGCCTGTTTTGGACTGGTTCTGTCATTAAAAATAAGGCAGGAGTGGTTTGAACGTTGCTGCTGTTGAGTCTTTAGCTGTGGGAAAGATTTTTATTCATATTTTTTGTCAAGAGAAAAGCACTTTTATTGTGCATGAAAAAACACTTAGATTTCTCTCAAATTCTTTAGAGATATCCAGGTTATAAACAGCTATTGTTGCTCCAGAGCTGTGTTCATCCCTGGCTCAGACTGCTCTTTGCCCCCCTGACATTTGCCCTTTACCCTTTGCCCTCTGCGAGTCTCAGAATAGGTGATGGGGGGCTGCAGATCCCGTCTGTAATGCGACTAACCCRTCCTGATGGAGTTAGAGTGGCTCGGTGGCGATTGTGCCGTGGTCCGTGGAGATGAAAAAGCTGCTCCTCACTTTCTTTTTAATCTTTTGTTTCCTGCAGCTGGAATCAAATGCATGAATTGTGCATAATCTCCAGTGTTTTTTTATACTTTGGTCAGAGAGCCTCTTCTGAGCTTAACTTTGGATTCCAGCTCATCTAAGACATGAAAGTCTTGCTGAAGCACTGGAGTACCTTTGAGTACGAAGTCCAGCTGCATTGAATCACCCACACACATGAATACATTCATTTTCTTGCTCTCTTGTACGCTTCRTTTCTCTGCCTTACCCCTCGAACGTCTTCAGACTTTATGTCTTGTTTTCAGACGGGCGGCGTTCAGTCCGTGAATCGTTTAGTGTAAGGTTTTTTCCAGATGAGCATCACAGGCTCAAAGGCAGCTTGATTGCAGTTGGAGCAACTGTTGCACGGGTTAATCATCAAAACGAGTGCAGCGGAGCTGCTGCGAGTCATTTTAATTGGTGATTCTCAGATTCATGCACGCACGCAGGCGCCCCTCTCCAGTCGGACGTCATCTTCTAAACCAGTTTTTGAATGTGACTCTCACAGAGAAGGCAGGGTGTAGTAGTGCTTTTGGTTTTCCCAAACACTCCCCAACCTTGGTGCTAATATATATATATAATTTTTTTTGCATATTTTATCAAGAAACAGTCAGTGGCCCCCATCCAAGTCTTTCGAGGGATGAATGTAATAATTTTCAATCGGCGCGCTGTTCCAAAGGGAGCGCAGTAGAAAGAGAGATTGACAGATGTGAGCTGGATTACGCCGCCGCTTTGAACTCAGTCCAATTTTCGTTCTGTTGCAGGTGCTAAAGAGATTGATATTGCCGCTACCCTGGAGCACTTGAGAGACCAGAGAGCTGGCTTGGTCCAGACAAAGGTAAGGTCCCCGGCTTTGAGTTGGAAGAGTGGGGGGAGGAGGAAGACTGGGAGGAGGAAGAACACTGGGAGGGTGATTGTGGGGTGGGGGGAGGGGCTGCAGTCATTCAGAACGATGATTGTCTACTTGAAGAGTGTAAGATCGGAGGGAAATGATAATTTAYAACCGCTTCGGGATTAAAGAAACACTGAAGACAATAAGTTTTTGGCAATAATGAGAGGTGGGGGAGAATTTGCTTAAAAACAATTAAGTAATTAGTAAAAAATGCTCAATTATTTTCTTGCTCTTTATTCGTTTATAATAATTTTCTGTTGTGTCTCCACTGTAGTTTATATCACCTCACGTACCAGTCACTTCCTCTCACCCTCAAATACAAATAAATCCCATTTCCTTTTTGTTTCTCTCCTKCAGCTTGAGACAATATTAATAAAAACAATAAAAGTGAGGCCCATTCTGCGGCGAGTGATAATATTTATGGGAACAGCTTGCTAACAGGCTCCTCGATGCTTCATTAATGCTGCTCTCACAGCCGCGCTCCATTCAGCAGAGAAAAGCTTTTCAAGCACTCTCTTTTTCTTTTTCTGACATGTCTAAGTGAAATTACTTTGGAATATTGTTGATTCCACTTTGTGGATTCATGCAGGCTGTACTCAGAAATTAGACAGTAATGAGGTATGAAATGCGGAGCTAGGTTTTAAAAATTGTACAAGCATTTTTCTCCCTCTTTAATGACGTTTCCACTTTATTTTTTGTACAATAAACATTAAATTCCATTCTTCCTGGTTGCTGCTTTTTACAGACATCAATCAGTTGTAATTACAATACGTGTGACCGTTTTTTTTTTTTTCTTCCTGAGTAACACCCATTTCTGATGTGTCGAGCAGAGATTGATCTCCCCCCTGTGGTTTAAATGAGAACGCTCATCTCTAACTTTAAACTCGAACTAGGAATAGATTATTGCATATGTGGGGTGGAGATAAATATGGATGTACTTACATACTTTTTGGCCTTATCACATCTTCACAAGGCACACAAAAATAAAAACGCCTGATAATCTCCAGTGCAAAGTGAAACTGGTGACTCCTCCGTATTGATTTAGCCTGTCCTCAGGCCAGACCGTGGCAGGCTGTGTGTTGACACATCTGAAGGCTGTTCCCTCCAAACTCCTACGTACTCTTTCTCTATAAGAGGACCCTGTGGCCCGCAGCCTGGGGAGAGGAGAGGAATATAAAAGCGCCGAGTCCATGGGGCAAACATCAATCAGTTCCTCTGGGAAAACTGTGAGCCGGTTTCACAATCAAACGCACGCACATACTCTGGAAAAAAAAGAAGAAAAAAAAAAGCAGAGTTTCGACTCAAAAGCTCCATTTTAAGGCGCACCTGGTTGGATCGATGCCGGCTGTGCTTCAGGTTGAAAGAAAGCGATTCAGCTGAAGTCCGTGGCCAAGCGCAGGCAGGGTCAGGAGATATGGAGGGAGACGAGGAGGCGGCAGCTGCCAGTCACTCTCAAATGGCATTCAAGACATGCGACACAACTGGACTCAGACTAACACTTTGTCTTTTTTTTTCTCCTTCCCCATCTCCTCCTCCTCAGGAGCAGTTTGAGTTTACTCTGACAGCCGTGGCCGAGGAGGTGAACGCCATCCTGAAAGCGCTTCCTCAGTAAAAGGCATCACATGTCTTATTTTCTCTCCGCCAWGCACCGGTCTTCTCTGCCTGCCCTTCTATGTCAACCTCCTCTTCACCCTCTGATACTGTATCCCCAACATTGTGCCTGCTAGCTCATCTCATCATCATCACTAATTTTCAGAGTGCGAGAGATTACGTTTTAGTGTTTTAAGAAGAACAAACATGAAACCACAGTCGTCTGTACGGTGACGTTTCTGGACATACTCCTGCAGTGTCACTGATGACATGTTCATGTAGCTTCAAGTGCAGATTCACGTTACAAAATGAGCTGACATCTGTTAAAAAATGGTTTCAAATGCTATGAAAACTAGCTGCAGCTAATAGTTTGTGTTTTGGCTGTTTTGTGTGTAAAATTGAGGAAAAAAGGAACAGATTATGTTTGTTTATTTTGTGTGACTGAGTTAAATTTAGAGATGCACTGATTGCTGGTTTTTGGTTTAGGGCCAATTTCAATCTTCCATTTTGACTTGCCAGTTTTTCTACAAGACTTTTAATTGACAGGAAATCGTTCATTTTTTTTTGAATGAATTAAACAAAGGATAAAACATCAAGCTACTTTTTATTCCAAARAGCACTACGTTACTGAAAAAACTTAACTGTATAAAGTATATTTCTTTTATATGACAGATTAAACCTAGGCAACATGTTTACCTTCCTTTTTTATACCCCAAAGCTTAAAGGTGTACACAATAACAAGACAAACACTTAAAAATATTTTAAGTAAACATCCAATGTAGCGTTGTTAAAATTTTGGTAATTGGTTATGTTTATTGGCTAAATCAGCACAAATATTGGTGAAAAAAAACTGTGTACTTCTTTTGTTTTCTTTGACTTGATTTTAAAATGCGTAGATAGTACAAAAAATCAACTTCTAGTCTTTTTCACCAAGTCAAAGCTTTCACATCAAGATGTGCTATCGCAAATTAGCCACTTAGCACACAAGTTAGTGAAAATGGACTTTTGACGCCTGTTGCGTTAAAGAATTGTTCAGTTCTGCTCACCTAAAAAGCATTCACTGCATCCCTGTTTAGTAGAATATTTATATATTATATTACATTTTGTGTRRGAATAACMAGAATGGTRGTTAGATTTTTGTTTGTTTGTTTGTTGTTTGRTTTTTAGATTGTCTRATTGAACAAACTGAAGTAGCTGCAGCTCTCAGCTCAGACTCTGTAAATGAACTTATTACCTGTAAATCTCATTTTGTACAAATTCTTTCCTCCAAATGAAGTGATGTGCTGGACCCCCTCATGTTTCTCCTCCTCTGTGATCTGAATCAGCTAATATATACTCTGCATCACTTTAAAATGTTGGTGTGTGTGTTGTAATTTGAACCATGCCACAGATTCTCTGACTCTGAAAAAAGCCTCACAGATCATAACATATCAGCCGTTCATTCACTACAGTGACTTGTTAATATTCCCTTTTTCTTTTGTTTTTTTTTTTTCTTTAAAGTTTGGTCAACAAACAACTCTGTTAATATTAAATGTGAAATACTAAAATATATCCTCTATTTAGAAAAGTTGTCATCCTGTATCAATAGTAATAAGATTATATATATAAATGAAGAACTTATATTGGGATTGCTGCTAAATTTGTTTGTCCCTCTATCACTGGTATATTGTGACATTTCGTGCAACATGACAGACTATTTGTTCTATAGACAATGAATGACTTTATGAATTGTGCTATATAAAAATCCACACTGAGATCTTCAGTGAGAGCTATATATTTTGTGTGAGAAGTAACATTCAGATTGATAATAAATCCGATCAGACTCCACTGCTTTGCTGTCTGCTGTGTAATGTTATTTCTGATACACTCCCAGACAAGAAGGCCGACCTTCCACTGAAAGACATTTGATTGAGCGATAGTCCTCGTAAAGGCACAAGGAAAATGGTGTGTAGCGCTCCCTGGGGGGTTTGTATATCTGGTAAAGACTCGCCGGTTTGTACTGATGAAATGTTTGTTTCACTGGCTCTGTCAGCAGAGAAACTGGCTGGGATGTGAAATGAAATCAGTCTTTCACGCTCTCAGGTCATCTCACAATATTACAGTGAAAAACAAGTCCAGCCCCTCAGAGTGGAGTTAGATCAGTTAGAGCTGATGTTGCACAGTATTAGAAAATCATTGCAATATTGTTGAAACTGGAACAATAATAGCATTTGTGATAAACACATGTTCTGTTGAAAACACTCTCTGTGTACTTTAGCATCTCAGACACTACGATCTAAACCAAGGGAACAGAGAGTTCATGTGATTGGCTGAATTATTAAACGGCATAAAAGCAGGAACTCACGGCATGTGGAGTACAGCAATGATTCCCAACTGGTGGGTCATGACCCAAAAGTAAATCGTAGACTTGTTTTCAGTGGGTTGCAGACATTGGTGCAAAAAAAAGTTACAAGAAAAACTCTATATCCTTACTGTTATGTCGGTCGTATTTATTCTTATTAACCTTTATTTAACCAGGAAAATCCCAATGAGATCACAAATTTTTTTTGTAAGGGAGGCCTGGGCCTGAAGGCAGCCTAAAATGCATGTTTTTTTTTTTGTTAGCTTTTTTGTTGTTGTTTTTTTGTTTGTTTGTTTTTTGGTCTGTGGGAGGAAACCGCAGTACCTGGAGAAAACCCATGCAAACAGCACAGAAAGACCCCAGGTCTGAACAGGGAACTGAATCAGGACCTTTTTGCTGTGAGGTTATCAGTGCTAACCACTGAGCCACCATGCTGCCCAAATGGTTAATGCTTGAATAAGTGATGGAATTATTTTAACAAAACATTACAATATAATCATTTAGTCAACTAAAGCTTTTGAAACTACTCAGTATTTTGTACTTCATGTTTGTGGATGAAAGCACTGGTAAGACTTAAAAAGCTGAAGTTTTTGACCTGAAGAATTTTGGTTTTAATCAAAATGCARCTACAGTAACTGGCTGTAAAATGAAAATTTCCCTCTAACATTGCCACTTGCTGGTTGTTTCTACTATAACAGGTTCAAACTGCAACTTTCATTCAATGACATTAAGAAGTTAAAAAAATTTCCTGGATTTTAGTCACATTTTGACATAAAGGGGTGATGTTTGGTTCTAAAGCCAGACCAGCTGAAAGCTGCTGGAATATTGTATCTAGGTGCTGCTTTGCAATTATGATATTACAAATATTAATACATCAATTACAATGTACTTTCAGCATTTTTAGGAGCCCTAATCAGAATGAACTGAAATATGTCACTGCTATGATACAATAATTGTGTACAGGTGGTAAATATTAGATAACTAGTATTTAATTTTAGATTTGACATGAGAATTTAAAATGTTCTTATCTTTATGTTGCAAATAAATTTCAGCTGATTGTGCTGTTCCAAGGTTTATAAGTGCTAGTTATTGCCATTAACAATGACCAAACTTGTCTTATTTAAACTTGCTGCATTTAACTTTAATCACACTTGAGATACACGTGTGATAGCTGGATTAGGTGTTTTCTTCAAGGACAGCATGACATGTGGGAATGGTGGGGAATCAAACCTGCAACTTTCCAATCTCAGGTCAGCTGCGCTACCACTGCGCCACAGCTCATAGTCCAAAAATAAACATTTTAACTCTATGAAACCTTAAATAAGACGTAATCTGTAAAATCATCAGTAATGAGTCTGAGTGGTTAAATGGACTCACTGTTTTGCACAAGTTAAATCTTTTCTTTTAATTTACTTCCTGATTTGGTACTTGCAAGGCTCAAATCTGAAGCAAAAAGTTTTGAGCGAAGTTCTGTTTTTTATTCTTTAATGTAATGCCTTAGTGATACCAGCCTAATAAATCCTGAATACTTCAGAGAGTTTTCATTTATGTTCTGAAACTTGACTGAATGCTTTGCTGGATCTGAAAATGAGAAAATAAAGAATCAAACTGTAAAGAATAAATTTGACGAATGAAAWTGAAGTCTTTTTATTAAGTTTTAAAAAACCCTGCTAAAAGTAAGTTTCCTGGAGAGACATGTATTTTTATAACTGTATGAGCTTTTGTCAGTATAAAATCTGACCCATTAAGCTTCAGCAAATCATTATTCACGAACAATAATAAAGTGATTGTTCAGTGTTCATGGGCTTTATTGTAAATGTGCTTTCATAGAAATTTATTCCATAATACATCTACAGTAAAACTATTCTKGAACATTTGCTTACATCAAGTAAATACATGGTTATAAATAAATTTAAACATAAAGCATCTGCTGACAAAGTGTGAACTAAGTTTGTAAAACTTAGACAGAGAGCACAATGAGGATTTTATTACCAGGAAAAAAAAAGGAAAAGAAAAAAACAAAGTGCTGAGAAGCACGTACAGAGAATCTATAATTTCCTACCACTCAATGTGTGCGTGGGATTCTCTTTCAAATGCATATTCATGTACCCGTTGACATGTCCCACCCTCCCCTGACAGTCCTAATAGCCGGGAATGAGGCTTCGTGCACTTCCTGAGGTCTCATTTGCATATGATTCACTGATGAGCTGCCACCGCTAACCAGCAACACCAAACCTGTTTGGTCTCTTACAACAAATGAAATCTTAGAACCCATAGTTAGGCTCTACAACAGGGCCTACAAAATTCATAAAAAACTTCCTGGTTGGACTCATCACTGTACAGTTCTTTCATTGTCTGATGCCTTGACTTTTCAGAATTGTGTTTTGTATAGTGGTATTAATTTATATTTTCAGATCTTCCAAGGTGCGAATTATGGAACTCTCTGTGCATTGCTGCCCAAATCAAATTCTGGAAGTGGTCATTCAACTAGATCTGTTACAAAAGGACAACTGATATTACCAACTTTTAAAAACCGTTATGGCCAGAGGTCTTTCTTCTATGTTTATACTAAAGCATGGAATGACATTCCTCAAAACATAAAGTCCATTTCAAAACTACAGCCCTTTAAGAAGAATCTTGTCTGCCATCTGCTGGACACTTTTTGTTGTGCTCATATTTGGACGTCCTATTTTGCAAATGCTGCCTTTTTGAAATTTGGTATGCTTGTTTATCTTTGTGTCTATTGTGTATAATGATGTGATTGTGATGCTGTAATTCTGAGTGTTTATGTGCTGCAGAACAGGAAMCTGCTGTAAAACAGCAATTATGCTGAGTCAGGCTTGATTTTTAATCATCTTTTCCTGTTAAATAAATAAATCAAATCAAATCAAATTAAATCAACCAAAGCCCTATTAATACTCTCCCATTCATGTTATAAAGCACACAAACCTAATCAGCTTAGAAATTACTGTATGGAAACCATAATTACGCATGTTTAATTGCTTATCATCCGATGGGTACAAGTTTAATAGAAAATGTAATGTATAATTGCTTCCTGAGRTTTCTGGTAAGCTACAGTGGCATGTGATATCCTGTCAGCTCCCATTTGGGAGGATTAATGCATTCTGGAAAAGTCACAAAATTAGAAACCAAGCTTTACCTCTTTGGTTACATGCTTTAACTCAAAGTGATTTTTAATTTAGGGTTTTCAAAACTGCTGCTTAAACTCGAATAAGTCTGCGAAGTGAGATTCGTCAAGCTCAGGCATGGAAGCCACCAGAACATCACATCATCTGTGTTGTTTCGTGAGGGCTGTGGAATCATGACACTACTGGAAAACAGTTCCAAACTTCATAAGAAATCTGAAAAATCAAGGGTTAAAGCAAGAGAAGTCTCAGGAATGATGTGAAAAGAAGCCCGTCTGAAAGTGGATGAATCATTCAGTCCTGAAAGAAGCAGATTAAAGCCCAGTGCAGGTCTCTTGGAGGAGCCTCTACAAGAACATTAAGTGGGTCTTTTCAGCTTCAGGTCTTAGTGAGTCTTTCAGCTCATTCCCACTCTTTGATGGTCTGTCTATAGTTTGTTGTAATCACTCTTGGCTCTCCATCCTTCGACACACTTGTAAATTCATGTGGGTTTTTTATAAGGCAATGCGAGCCAGAAGTTCCTCTTTGACTAATTTTCTTTGGACAAGTGATTTTCAAAAGGAAAGCTTGTTTGGTATTTCTTTTAGAAGATTTTACATACACTATAATTGATATATGAGACATATTCAGTGTGTACTGTAGAAAAAATGGTATTGCATACAGTAAAAGAGACTTGCTTTCAAATTTAAAAGCAAGTCTGTACCTAAATATTAGATTATTAGAAATGTTATCTGCTCTGCAAATATCTTTTAGCAAAAAACTTAAGGCAAATGTTTATTAAAAAAACTAAATGTTATCTAAGTCTAACAAGTTTTAGTTGGGTCCTTTAGAAGGGTTCTTTGTTGAAAAGTTTGTTTTTTTATCTGAAACCTGGGCGTTTTTGCATTGTAAGGTCTGGCTCGACCAACCCCAGCTCCAGTCGGCCTGACCTGATCCTACCCCGGCCCTGGTTGTGTTTACATTGATCAGAGAACCGCCTCCATGTGGGCGGGACCAATGAACACATACACGGCTACATTTTATTTGCGACACGACAATAATGGATAACACCAAACTTAGGTCGTATTCAGACCTGACAATTTGCTCCGCTTTAAACGTATCAGAGTTCGTTTCCAGCGTTGGTCCTTTGGACCTTTTGTGCAGTTGTGAATACACTCATGGGAACTCTGGTGCGGATCAAATAAACGGACCGAGACCCGTTTTTTTGAGGTGGTCTCGGTTCGTTTCCAAACGAACTCTGGTGCGGTTCACTTCGGTTTGCTTCTGGTGTGAATACAGACCGGACTCGAACCGAACCATTTGCATAAAACAAGCGCCTTTTTGGACTTCACAGGCCACCGTTG